CTCGGGGATGCAGGGGGGAGTCAGGAAAGCCAAGGTGGAGATGGAACTTGGACTAGCTTCCCGGATCAAGGACAACAAGAAGTCCTTTTTTAAATACATGGGGGGGCAAAAAGAAGGTACGGGGTAACATGGGGCCCCTGGAAGGCACACTAGGAAATTTGGTCATCACACCAGACAACAAAGCTAACTTATTTAATGACTCTGCCTCTGTTTTCCTGAGCAGGGACCAGATCAGCCCTGGAGGAGGCACATCTATGCCATGGGTTAGGGAGGATCTAGTCAGGGAACTTCTGGAGGGACTGGATGTATTTAAATCAGCTGGTCCGGACGATCTCCACCCCAGAGTGCTGAGGGAATTAGCTGAGGTGATTGCGGGACCCCTGGCACTGCTTTATAAGCACTCATGGTGCTCTGGTGTGGTGCCAAAGGACTGGCAGAGGGCCAACGTGGTTCCCATTTTTAAAAAAGGGGAAGAAGGAGGACCCAGGGAGCTATAGGCCAGTTAGTCTTACCTCGATTCTGGGTAAGCTTTTCAACATCTTCATCAGTGACTTGGACAAGGGGGTAAAAAGCACCCTGTTCAAATTTGCCGATTAACACTAAGATGTGGGGGGATATGGACACTTTAGAAATAAGGAATAGGCTACAATTGGACCTAGACAGGTTACAGGGGTGGGCGGATGAGAACAGGATGGGTTTCAACACTGACAAGTATAAGGTGATGTATCTGGGAGGGGGAAGAACCAGCACCATACCTACAGGCTGGGGAATTCCCTTCTCCTTAGTGCAGAGGCAGAAAAGGATCTTGGAACCCTCATCAATGCCAAGATGAACATGGGCAGGCAGTGTGGGGATGCAGTCAGGAAGGTCAACGGCACCTTGTCATGCATCCACAGATGCATCTTGGGCAGGTCCAGAGAGGTGATCCTCCTCCTCTATGCGGCACTGATCAGGCTACAGTTGGAGTACTGTGTCCAGTTCTGGGTGCCACACTTCAAGAAGGATGTGGACAACATGGAGAGGGTCCAGAGGAGGGCCACTCGCATGATTGGGGGCAGCAGGGCAGGCCCCACGAGGACATGCTACGGGACTTGAACCTGTTCAGCCTCCGTAAGAGAAGGCCTGCTACAAACTAGTCAGAGGGGACCAGCAGGCTTTGGGGGAGTCACTGTTTCCTGGAGCACTACCAGGAGTGACTAGAAATAACGGTCACAAGCTGGCAGAGGGTAGATGCAGACTAGACATCAGGAGGCGCTACTTCACTCTCAGGGCAGCTAGGATCTGGAACCAACTTCCAAGAGAAGTGGTGCTGGCTCCTACCCTGGGGGTTTTTAAGACAAGGCTTGACAATCGCCTTGCTGGGGTTGTTTGACCCCAGTACTCTTTCCTGCCATGGCAGGGGGTCAGGCTTGATGATCTGCTCAGGTCCCTTCCAACTCTACTATGAAATCTTACTGCATATAGGGTACATCTACCCATGATGTGATGTTGCTGTATTGATGCGCTATGGTAATGTAGAGTCCATGGGTATCTACGTGACCAGCAGCTACTTTGCTGTAGCGGTGTGCTCCCCTGTTTATAGCATGCCGCTGTGGCAAAGTAGCTGCTAAAAGTAACAGCACCTTGTGTACAGCACAGTATGGGTGGTTACTGCGCTGTGCTCTAGTTCTTCCAAAAGGAAGTACTAGAGGACAGTGCAGTAACAACATCACTGTAGGGCAATGTGTAGATGCTCCCATAAGCTAATATTTTGAATAAAGCATGTTTGTCTACTTTATGTCAAGAAATGATTTCTCAAAGCTTCCTGTGACTTGTATTCCATAGCTGGGGAAACTCCAAAGATGTATGGCTCAATATTCTGAAGAAGGAGAACAAGTATGCCCATTGCAAACACTTTACGTCACTACATGCTAACTTGCAACCACACATGAGGTCAATACTCCTGGACTGGCTCTTGGAGGTGTGTGTTTCAAAGTTATGTTAAGTTATGGCTGTTAAACTATTTATTTTGCCATTACACCAATCTGTTTAAAGAGTATCACTAATAGAATATGCTATAAATGTAAATGATGCACACATTTTGCAAAAATTAAGCAGTTGTCTTGTGTTATCTCCCATGAATAGTTTGTGTCCAGCGACATGCTACAGTTGATGACCATGCTAATTGTTAAAGTAGTGCAAAAGTAACTTTTTCAACATTACATCATTGTTCTAAGGCACCATGTTGCAGCACACACATGCAACCATAACCAAGTCCCTAAAGTGTATCAAAGCTGTGGGGAATAATGTTATGGTACCATTTGGCAAACTGTTGCTGCAGTGTCTACAAGGCCTTAAAGATCACAGTTTGTATTTAAAGGCCTATTTATGCTGACATCTGTGTGGAAAAACTTACCTCAACTCACCTCTGAAATTGATTTGGCATTGGTGGGTGTCATGTTGTTCAAAATGCATTTTGTCAGTTCTGTTTGTGCCATGTTTGGGACAGTTTTGACTTGCTCCATGCTGGCAGCCAAACCACTTGAAAGATTATTTGTGTGGGAAATCCTTCTTGGAATATTAGTACTCAGCATTCTGGCCCTGCAGGCTGGATGGAGTGGTATGGAGCTGGTCTGTGAGCCAGATCCAGCATGGAGTTAGCACCATATGGTTGGTCTATGAGTTGAGATCTGGTGTGCTTGCTCCCATCATTGAACAACCCTGCACACCAGCCCAACCTTGTGCAGGGGTGTGTGGGATGCACCATGCAGATCCAGTGCATGGGGCCACAAGTGCAGCCTGTAGAGCTGCCCATGGGTTGGGAAACTTTGGCAGTGGGGATGCGGTGTAAGTGCTAATTGCTGCAGCTCGGGAAGCTAACAAAATGCAGTTCGAACAGATATGGCTATTCCCTTTTCCCCCCATCTATATAAAAAAATCCATTTTGGAAGGGAGTTGAATTTCTAAGTCTCTGTACACAGCCATGGCAATTCAACACTGCCACCACTCCCCTGCTGTCAAATTTCCAGATCCAGTGGGAAGCTTGTGGGCTGCATGGTAGACTGCTATTCTAGACCATGGTTGGCTATTTTGCAAGACCCTTTTTGTTAAGGCTGTCTTGCTGTTGCTGCCAATAGTAGATCTTGAGTTGCACTGATGGAGCAGTGACTGCATGTTGGTAAATTCCATGCTGTTAAATGCCCTAGGCAGGGAGCTATTAGAGTTGGTAGCCATCAGTGCCCTTATTTATGTCTGAACTCCACTGTTACCATCAGGGGACTTACACTGCTGGCAAGTGTTGAAACACTTGGAGGAAAGAAGTTAGACAGCCTGAGCATAAAGTGATGCAAATTATATGACTTGACCATTCATTCCCAATATACAGTTCTCCACCATCTCTGAACTGGCTTATTTTTGGCTACTGTTGAATTGGCTATTGCTAAGAGGTTACCCAACTCGATTTAACACCTCAGCTGAACACCACTGCTCCAGCAGTGCTCCATATCCTGGCTAGAGTTATGGTAGTCCTCTGTATCTTGCCTAAACTTCATCCACCTGCCATTATTGGCCATGGCAGGAAACTTACTGGGGGCTGAGTGGGTGAGTACATACAGAGCCTTTGTGGGTGGATGTGCAGAATGACACAGAAAGGTGGTTTATTGCCCCTCACCCCAGAACCCATACTGCCAACTTGTGGCTTTTCTTACAAAGTCACTATATTGCAGAAACTGTGGAAGCAGTAGTAAGCAAGCTCCTTGGCTTGTACAGCAGTAAATGTTAAATCTGCAAGTTACTCCCTTTCATGTCCCACTGAATATTAGCTATCCAACTTAGCTTGCATGCATTTAAAGGAATTGTCTCTTCAGGAAGGGTTTTGCATGAGTTTAGTTAAAATATGTCACTCAAGGGGAGAGTTGAACAATATTTAGGGCTAAATAAATTATTATTTGGACAGAAAAATTCCTGTAGGAAAATGCGAGTAGCTCTACATACAACTTTAAATTTGAAGGCAAACTAGATCTAAAACCAGTATTGTTTAGTTTTGGCTTTTGCTTCTATTTTCATTTTAAGCAGTATTCAGACCTTGTGGAACCCAGGGAAATGGTATTGCTTGAACTCCTGTGGGGAGGGGGTGGGAAACCACTCACTCACTAACACCCCCCCCCCCCCCCCCC